ATGGTCGATCCAGTGAAAGAAAAATGGGTGAAATCTTTTGATCTAGGATAAACTACAGACCCTTCATAGTCAATCCTAGGCTACCCCATCAAGCCAAAACAAGCTTAAAAGCCTTAAAATCGAGAATTCTTCATTTTTCTCCTAACTTCTCATTATTCCACCCATTTTCTTTTAAATTTCATACCTTTCAAAACCTTCAAACTCCAACAACAAATCTTGGATTTTAAGTGCCAAAGGTCAAGATTTTAACTACCAAAAGCTTGATTTTCATGGTTTGTTTTCTTTTTTTACTCATTTGAAACCTTAAGCCACAAATGGATTCTTGGAGCTATTTAAAGTGATTTTGGAGCAAAGAATCATGTAATCCAGTCTTTAAGGTATGGGTTTAGGTTGTTATTGAAAGATTTGAGATCATATGTTGCATTGTTAACGATTTAGTTAATTTTACAAAAGTTGGCATTTTTGAAAGCTAAGATTTAATTAGCTTTATGATGTTTTAATTTGTTTAAGGGAAGATTGAGAAATTTGGGCACATTTGTGAGTTGAAAAACAGTTGAAGGCTAAGGATCAACGCTTGGCTAAGGAGCCCTTTTAACTAGTCACTATGAATGGGTTAATTTGAATGCATGTGACGCATAACACATGGAAGATGTGTTGCACTAATACTAGATTTTGTTTATAGGCCTAAATGAGCAAGCCTAAGCTAGAGAACAAATGATTTATGTGTAAGTATGTATATCTATTTGTGTGAATGGTATATGTTGAGATAGTGTGCCTTGTCCAAGCCACATAGATGGCTTGTGTTGTGTAAGCCTAAACTAGGATGTCTATAGGTTATGATGAATCCCTAAGAGTAAATTATCCTAGGTGAATGATATGATAAAATGATTTGATCAAATGATGCATTGGAGAAATAAAGGTACGTAGAACCTTAAATGAGCTTATAGTGCATTGAAGCTTGATAAATATGATTTGTGATATGTTGTGGATATATGGAAAGATAAAGGCATGATGGCTTTATTGTGGATTTGTGTTTCATCCGAGGGATGAATTCCAGACATTGATCTAACTTATGGATGAGTGGAGTTTTGTCCCCTTATGACTCTATGTGTGCCTATAGAGATGGTTGTAAGCAAGGAAAGTGGTATTAGTCTCGCCTATAACACTTTGATGCCACTCGACTGAGAATACTCCAAGTGATGTTGACTATCGAGAGACTACTTCGATCGATGATTTAATTCTTTGCTCGGTACTCCGACATTGTGCATGATTTGTTCTCCTCTTGTTGCTTTGACATGCGCATGATTTGTTCCTTGCTAGTGACTTTTCCTTATGCATGATTTGTTTCATCGTCAATTGGCCACCGAGTGTGATTTGACTATGTTCAAAGGAGGACTGCTTGTTGATTTGACTTGAATTGTGTATGATATGCGATGGCCTTAGGAAGGTTTAGATAGGTTTGATTTGAGAATGACATGATACTCTAGCAACTAAAGTCTGACTTTGAATGGCTTTGATGTTAAGCCTAATGATTGAGTAATGATATCTAGAGACATTGGGGATGATGGTATGCCCCTGTATTTAGAGATGTCTGCTAGAATCTGTGTATGCATTGATAATTTAATGTTTATTATGTGATTTATATTTATGTATGATTTTGTTATTTGCACCACTCACTAAGCATTAGAGTACTCAACCATTTCTTATACCATGTATAGATAAATAGACCACAAAGCCATGTGGTAGATGTTGTCCAGTGAAGAACTTATTTTGGCATCCAATAGGTTTCCATCCGCCATGTCACTCTACTATGTTAGTCACGAGCTTTTGCTTTATGCTTAGTTGTTGTATATGGAGGCACATTGTGAAATATGAACTTGTATGAGGGTTGTTATGCAAGAACCCACCTTGAATGGTCAATGTATGACATTTATGGATATTTGTATGAATTTATATGCTAGGGATAATGTTTTATGTTTGAACTTAAAATTTATTTATGAATATTTGGCTATGAACTCCCTTGGCTATGTGTTATGTGATTTTGAATTCTGAGGCTTGCTTGGGTCTTATGGGTTTTGCCTATTGGGCTCATACACCAGTCACGAACCCCCCAGTTTAGGTCATAACACACACATATTATGTATGTATGTATGCATGTATACATGGTGATGCATACCATGGTTTTTTGAGTCATATTTGAATTCTATCTGTTTTTTAAGGCTTACTCTGGTTGAATGGGTTTTTCCCATTGGATTTTTTATGCTGATCATGATCTCGAATTGGAATGTGATAGTTCTACAATGAACACTTACCATTAAAAATCAATGTAATTACAAATTCAAAAACAATTCCAAATTTAGTCACTTGCTCAATGTTCTACAAGAACCACTAGCATTGGGACCAATAGCAGGAAGCAAATTATATTTTTCAAATACAATCTACAGATATTAAAATTTGTCCCTAAATAGGTTACTTGGTTGACACTTGTATAGCCTAATTGTTTGACACATGGTGACTTGATTTGGGTTGAATTTAGGTTGAAAAGGAGTTTCAAGCTGATTTTGGATTTTTTGAGTTTATGTTCCTTAGAGCTTGAAACTTCATTGTTCTTGAGTTGTTTTTGCATTTTTAAACTTTCTTTCACTTTAGGCTGGTTGGGCTAGCAGCATTACGCGTTCTCTAGTAGATAAAAAGGCAATCATATGCCAATAATCAATAACTATATGAACAAAATAGCAGACAATGTTTTAGAGATCCTGAATGGCTATAGTCATTCTTATGACAGTAGTGGAATCATCTATAATAATAGCTTCAAATTTACTAATTTGAACCAACATTCTCAATGACTTTTCGATTATTGTTGAAATGAACCACCAAGTCATGCATGCAACCACTTAACAAAAAAGTGTCATGCATGCAACCTTGAACTCACCTTCAATAGCTATTAGACAAATTATCCTTGCTTTAAAGTACGCAAATACTCTATTTTACAATGAAATAGTTCTTATTATAAAATTGTAAAAAAAAATACAATTAGCATTTGAAAAGTGTATCCCCATTAGGACCGAATTTGACTTCCCACAACAGACGAAATTTATGACTATTTTCTTTAATTTTTTTATTTCAAAAAGACATTTTGTTCAAAATTTCATAATTTTTTTCACTCTTTTCCCGTTAAATGAAATTTCCACTTTCATTAAACGAGGTGATTAATTTTTGGAAATAAAGCAATAGAAGCACGCTTTATAACGATGAACTATGTCTGAAATAACATAAAACCAAATACAAATATAATCATGCATTAGGGTTTCGATTATGGATGATGACGAAGAGGATAAAAGAAATCATGTAATTCTGCGGTGTAATCTAGGTTCAAAATCTAGATTGTTGAGGGTTTTAGTGTTTACTGTCATGGATAGTTTAGTAATTGTCTAATTTCTGTAAACAACGTATATGGTTTTAGGATGAATTTTTCAAGTCCCAAACTAATGGATTCAATCTAAATTATTGCCAAAATTTAAGGATATGGGTGGAATTTGCAATTTTTTAATAAAAGATTTAACGAAAATTAAAAATGCATTATAAATCTCATGCTCTAGTGTGTTTCTCTTTTCTTTACTGAAATTTTTGATTGGGTTCTATAAAATAATAGACCGTAATTGGATTTGTGAAGAGGGAAAATTTCTACTCGTGTCTTGTGCCCAATTTCAAATTTCAGGATAATTTTAGATTTCGTCCATGATAAGCAATCATTGGACCGCCACATCTGATTTGTGGTGGTTGAAAGCTTCCACTTACTTCTTTCATCTACGACTGGCCGATGTCATGGTTTTAGAGAATTTGTAAGGCAATGACTTCCAAATTTTATTATCAAAAGTCGTCACCTAAGATCAACATGTTTGTGCAATATATTTTTCAATAAATAATAGTTAACTTTTGTATTGGAGATTTTTGCAATGAATTATACAGATTGTAATATTATAGAAAATGATTAATTAACAATGAATTGAATTTCACCATTACTCAATATATGATGGATCATATCAATCATAGTATAATAGTGATTTAAAGTCCCTAAACTATTTAAAAAAATTTAAATAAAGTTCATATACATTTTTTGTTTTAAACCAAATAAACTTTTATAATTAATGATTAACTAATTGTTATTAATTAAAATATTTCTTATCGTTAATTTTTGTACTTACGTGATGCTAACATGAAAAACGAAATGTTATGTAATTATGTTATCATGTTATATAAGCCTGTCATATCACCATTCATTATAATATGTCAATATATTACATTAGTATCAGATGACGTAAAAATGACAATTATCGTTTTGACTAATGACAATTATAATGAATTGTTACTTACAAAAACTTATTTATTTTAAAAAAATATATAACAATTTGATTGAATGTAATAAAAAATAAAATTTTATTTAAATTTTTTCTAAATAGTTAAACAGTTTTTTTTAGATTTTTATACCAAATATAAAAAGTTTTGCCTTTTCCTTGGGTGCATAAATTTACAGATTGTAAAATTATAAGGGCTTTGGTTAGTTTCAGTTTGCAGTTTATTATTTTCCCAATGATTACACAAGCAATTTCAAATTTTTTAAAACTAGTATTGCTATGGTAAAAGAGCAAAGTAGTCGTTTTTAGCCTATACTTTTGGTAACTGAGTGATATTCCATTAGTAATTTGTTCAAGGCATGTGCGGTAACTAAGGGGTGGTAATATCCATCTCCCAGCTAGAAAAAACAATATAAATTCAATTCTATCTCTGGGAAATGAAGAAAAGGAAGGAGAAGAGATAGAGACGAGAAGGATTCTGGTTGGAAATTAAGAATAGGAATGAGTTGAGAAGGCAACACATCGATATGTACGTGTCAAGCTTGATGCGTCAACATCTTCCACGTGTCCCACATAAGTCCAAGCCATCTCTGTCTAATTTAAGCTAATCCACTTCCACTTCTCAGCCATGCACACACTCCGGGCTCTGCAATTTTCTCCTTTTGGGTCCTTCCCCCGCTTCTTCTATTCTCGTTAATTACTTCTTCTTTTCCATCGTTCGCAAAGTGAAGGAAGTCGCGGTGCAGCTAGTAAAGTTTTCACAATCTAAAGCTGAAAAGATCGATCCTATAAAGACAGTAATAAGAATTAAGGCAGGAGGAGGCGGAGGGTCAACATGCCACCTCGCAGATACGCATTTGGGAGGGCTGATGAGGCCACTCATCCAGACTCTATGAGAGCCACCTTGGCTGAATTTCTCTCCACTCTCATTTTCGTCTTTGCCGGTGAAGGCTCAATTCTTGCTCTTGGTATGTTTTGTCTTAACTACTCTAAACCTTATTAAGTTTGCTTTATTAACTTGACTACCTTTGGAGTGATATTGATTATTTGTTTCATCTGTTTCTTACAGAAAAGATGCACATGGATACCCGTACAACGCCTGCAAGACTGGTGATGGTAGCACTTGCGCACGCCCTGTCGCTGTTTTCAGCAGTGGCAGTCAGCTTTAACGTTTCCGGTGGCCACGTCAACCCAGCAGTCACCTTTGGTGCGCTTCTGGGAGGAAGGATCTCGTTTATCCGTGCTGTTTACTACTGGGTTGCTCAGCTCTTAGGTGCTATTGTGGCTTGTCTCTTGCTGCTGGTCACTGCTGGAATGGTATTATATTAAGTTTAAATATATCAGGAAGTACTGTCATTTAATTTTGAAGTCTCTATATATATTGAGTTTGTGTGGATTTTTGGTTTTTGGTTTTCAGCGGCCTGCGGGGTTCACTGTGGCGTCTGGAGTTGGGGAGTTACGTGGTCTTGTACTAGAGATAGTGCTGACATATGGTTTGGTGTACACTGTATATGCAACAGCAATTGATCCCAAGAGAGGAAGCCTGGGGACAATAGCACCGCTGGCCATAGGCTTAATCGTTGGAGCTAACATCCTGGTAGGCGGGCCATTTGACGGAGCAGCCATGAACCCGGCCAGGGCCTTTGGTCCTGCCTTGGTAGGATGGAGGTGGAACAATCACTGGATCTACTGGGTGGGTCCGTTGCTTGGGGGAGGTTTAGCTGGTGTCATATACGAGTACATGATCATCCCCGCAGAGCCTCCACACCACACGCACCAGCCCTTGGCCCCTGAAGATTACTAGTCATTTTCATTAAATTTCTTGTGCTTCTGGGAGGTTTTGAACTCGCTTTTTTTAATTTTCTGTGTATGGTACCTCTTGCGTCTTTTTTCTTACTTTGTCAGTGCTTTTCTCCTCTGTTTGTGTATCAATTCCTTAGATGTTTGTATGCATTTTTATGACAAGAATAAAAAGCGTGCAGTGCTGTAGTCTTTATTAATAGGTCCCAGGAATATTAAAGGATCTCTAGCTTAATTATTGCTAATTTTCTAAAAAAATTTGTTTTTGGTCACTACACAAATGCAAATTAGTAACATGTTGATGCCTTGTTAAATATTCATTTTTTATTTTATATTGAATGAATATACATTATACTTTTTCACAATTAAAAATACAATTTAATCAATAATAGATAAAAAAGTATTACTTTTGCATTTTGATGAAGAAAACAGTTATTTATTGAATGTAAATTGGAATGACTTCGGAAAATTTGAGTCGGTCGTTCTGGTGCGAGACTCGAACCACTTCGGTTATTTGAGTATTTGAGTTCAATCATTCATGTCGCTCATGCTCTTGAAATTTGGTTACACGTGTACTTAAAATCTCGAATCATCGATTCCTCACTTATGCCGTTTGTTTTTAAATTTAAATTGAATTGAATTTGAACAAAGCATTTTGGTCAAGTCACATTTTGACATATCTCTAATTTTACTCTTTTTTTTAATATAATATAAATATATATTTTTTGAAAGCATAAAGATATTTATATATATGTATATATAACCAAGAAAACATCATTGTGAAATTATCAAGCAACAATAAAGTAAAAAATCATAGAGATCAAAGAACCAAAAAACTATAAAAATTTATGTAGTTTGGTCACTAGCCTACATTTATAGAGTGAAATAATTATTTTATTATTAAAAAATTAAATTATAATAAGATCTCTCTTTGATTTTCAAACCAATTTAAAGACACTTCTCTCACTAACCTTACAAGAACACTTGCTTACAACCTTCTAGTTTTAGTTGAAGTAAAACACAAATTTACAAGAACACTTGCTTGCACCCATTCTAGTTTCGGTTAAAGTAAAACAGAAATATACAAAGTGTTTCCCTCTTTGAGGCTCTTAAAAAATACTCAATTTCTAAAACTTACAACAACACTTTTATAATAAGATTAGAACTTGACATGAGACAAGGAATTTATAAAAAACAATAATTCTAGAACCCTAACTTTTATTACTTGGATAGTTAAATAGGTAATTTGGTGAACTTACGAAATACTTGATTTAGCTTGAATTCCTTAATTTCTAACTTTAGGAAACCATAAGTAAAAGATTTGAAGGGTTGTGAGAGGAATGGTATTGAATGGAGGCTTGAAAAGGTCATTTTATACAAGTTTGGATGAAAGGGGTCCATCCTTTAGCATGAGCAGTCGATTTCAAATAGCCAAAATGAGCAATTTGCTCTCGAGAAGTTATGGGAATCGACCCTTTGTTTGAGGTGTCAACCCTAGAGCAACAGGGCAGTATATGGGCATTCTGTTTGGAGTTGGAATCGACCCCTATGCTTTAGGTGTTGATCCTAAAGCTATAGGGCAACAAAGGAGTATTCTGTTTAGGGTTGGGATCAACCCCTTTTGCTCAAGGTGTTGATCTTGGGCCATATTTTTTTACGAAAAAAAAAAAGAAACCTCAAACCCTTTAAACTGTTGGGATTCGACCTCATACTCAAACATGAAATTAATCATGATATTAAAAATATAATATAGTAGAAAAATAAAATTAACATTTAATCAAAAAATAGCTAAATCACACAAGATCAATATTTGTGTTTTTTCATGTAATTTTCAACTTAATTATAAACATTTATAAGTTTAATTATTACATGCCTTGCTCTAGATATTGTAATCAAGAGTCAATTAAATCCAAAAGGCTTGTGATAAAGCAAGAAACTCAAAAAGAGAATAAGATAGTCTAAAATTTGATAACCAAAATCTTTGCTTCTTCACCTTTAAAATTTGTCAAATCTTGAGTCTTTCAATGATTTGACCTTTAATAGTAATCCATACAGTGACCGAATAAGACATTGTCAAAGATAGGATTTTTATTTGTGCTAGCAAGTTTTGTTTTTAGAAAACAAGATAGATCAAAACAAGCTTAGTTGAATCTTATTTCTATCCAACAAAGAAAACTATTTTTTTTCTTATTTTTATGAAATGGCTAAGAAGTGGCTGAAAGCTTAGAGTTTTTCTTGGTTAACATAACATATTTATAGACCTATACTAAGTCGTAACCCTAGATCAAACATTAGTATTTTTATTCAATTAAGTTCTTATGAACTTAATTAATTTTTTCACTTTATTTTGGTCTATTGCAATTCAATCCAACTTAATTAATCCTTATTTAATCTTAATCATGTCAATTAATATGTGTGACCCATTAGGCTTCTAACATGTTGGTAATAAATATAAATCATTATCAACTATCAATTTGATAATTGATTTATATTTATAGACAATGAGCAGCATCTAGCAATACATTATTGTCACCCAAATGTTAGAGAATCAATTAAAGAATTTGACAAAGCCCTTCAGTGATAAGCCTCTCAGTGTAATACGGCCATTTCATCAAATATCCTAGATATGTCATAAAGCATGGCTTAGTGTCTACTTATAACATTCCATATTACTTCTCATAATTCATGACTAACTTTATGAATTTAGGAAA